TAAAAACACAGTTTTTATGGAACATGAATGTTTGTTTCTGATGTTTTCTGGCGAATAAAAATAGTGGAGGAAAAATATATGGTGAATTGTAACCTGAGAGACGCCAGCCATCCAAAAAATATTTTCAACGCATTGAGAGGAGGTTATAGGATCATGGTTCATTTGAAAAAACCCTCGATTAATAGCTGTACAGTAACTGAAAGAGGTGGCGAAACTGAAATTGGTATTTTGGGTAATTTCAGAAGTCGTTCTTAGTAATGATGAAGTGATACCTATTTGTTTGATTCAGAATGAGTGGAATACCGAAAAATTGAGAACAAAGAAGTATCATTGAGAGAGATTGCACCATCATAGTGCTATATGGACTACATCAGTTCGAAAAATTCTGAGAAGAAATGAAATTAGACCTTACCAAGACACCAAGATTATAGGTAGGTCCCTTCTTTTTTGAGACATCTTTGACGGGGGAATTATATTCGGAATTCTTGTCTGAGCTCTAGTTGAGTTGTTGGAAGATTCACCGTTGAATATTCTGAGAAAATATCAGTATTTCCAACATGATGGAGCTCCGCCACATCGCAGAACTTTTTGCAGAGATTTCACAATTAGACTATGCTAGGACGATTTATAGAAAACAATGGTCTCATTAAATGGCCATCACGTTCACCTAACCTGACCCTTCTGGACTTTTTTCATTCTGGGGCTTCATTAAAGACAAGGTATTCAGCTGAACTTTTGACAATGTTGACGAATCGAAAGAAACAGGATGGCTTGCATGGCATAAAACTCCACAAATGCTGAAAAATTCACATGAAAATACTATTGCTAGAGCGAATTTGTGTTTAAGGAACGATGCACATTTATTGAGATATCGCGAACGACGTAGATTGTTAGGAGTATTCTATATTGTTTTTTGTGTTTTGGGTACACTGCTGAAGTGTAGTGAAGGGCAAACTGAAAAGTTCACTCTGTGTGATATAAACTACTGGTCCAACTAGTCAGTAACTTGTCATATTCATAAATATCGCCTACAAATTGAAGAAAAAAATCAGTCGAAAAATTTAAATATTGATACTTAGCTTTCTTAAGTTAACGTTTCGGAAAACACTTTTCCGTTTTCAAATCCTCACCATGAAAAACTTCGCCTCAAACTGTGATATTTCAAATATCTTTTGACACAAGTCAAAAGTTAACCCAAAGTAAACCCAAAAAAAACAGTATAAAATAATGAGTCCTCCACAAAAAAATGTCGTTTGAAGAATATGGTTAGGAGTATTCTGACATTGATTGTTGTTTCTTTTTGGTTTGGTTCTTCGTTTGTTCCGATTTGTGGAGTTTAAGTATAGCTTTGAGTCCCTACTTTTTTGAAGAAATTGTATTACTATACAACGTCGGGAACACAGCTGAATTTGTTATATCAGTCAGAAAAATCTGTTTAAATCTGTTTTTCCGTCAACCAGCTTATGCTCTCTTAGAAGGACAACTCTCAGAAGGCGAAACTTGTGCAACCTGGGTATTAACGAAATATTACCTTTCAACTTGCGATTCCTACCACGGGTTGGACGATAAGAAGTGAAAATGATTCGTCCGGCCTCGCGGCTTGAACCACCGGTTCACACAGCGGTCCGTTGAGTGAGTGAAGTAAACCACCCACGCCGACCCAACCGTTCCACACTGGCTACAAAAATCGATGATTTTTTGCAATGTTTTTCAATCGGCACAGTTGAAAACCTTAGAAGTAATAATGCCAGTCTCTTCTCCTTACCCCAAATATACCTTACAGAAAATTCAAGACCGTTTGACCAAATAGAAGACAAATCAAAATTGGAAATTGCTCGACATGTTATGTTTTGCAAAAAAACATTATTTTTTGTCTGTTTCTCTATGTTTCAATATAGTATTGGAGAAATAGGACATAATTTTAAAGCCACTCCTCCGCCACCAATGCGATTTCCAGGATATTCTGGTTCAAAATAATTGACTCTGCTTGAAATATTTTCAAATAAATTCAAAGGATCGTTTATTTCTCAACTTAAAGTTATCATTGAGATCGCTTGCCATTATAATTTTGGAATTATATTGATTTACGTTCTCCATAGATTTTTGATCTTCCCTCGTATACACATTGTATGTTTGGCCCTGACGTGTGCATCGAATGCTTTATTTACTGTTAAACACCTTTAACAATATTCAAGTGGTTCGTTTTGAAAAACATTTTTATCGGTCTGTCAGATAATAGCTTTCATAATGGATGAATTTTTTATCAAAGACACTTACGGTAGATACATTGATCAATAGTCAATACATACTGCAGGTGGAATAGACGTTGATTTTGAAAGAGAGTATGAAGTTTGGGACTATACTATTGGTATTGGTTGTAGTTACCTTTGTGGAAAATGTGACCGCTGGCTTGCCACTTGCCGGTAAGTTTTAAAAATGAATTTCGAACTGATAAATTAAGTAACAGTGTGGATCGGGTTGAGACCATTTTTGCCAAATTTATGCTCACAACTACAACTTCAACTTCAACTACAACTTCAACTACAGAAAACTGAAAACAGTCATTTAGGATAACTTTCATTGAATAGTAAAAAGATTGGAAATCAAAGGGCATATCTAATGTAATCATTTGAAAACGAAATGATCTGACTAACAAAGCCACAAAAATTGAGATAATACAGAAATATAATGACTACATGGATACAATAGAAAAGCAAAAAAAACAAAATTGGTTTCAAGTAAAATAGTTAGGTATAATAAAATGAGATAAAATAGATAAGATAAAAAGAGATACGATTACATAATTATATAATATCAAATGATTCTTTAGAGATAAGTTTTGTTGACATATACCAATTTGGTAGATTACTTGGACTAAAGAAGAAATTTGAAAGAGTTAACAAAATACATACACGCCACACACCAAAATTAGATACAATAAGTTCCAATGTACTTAAAGCATAGTCGCGGAGACCATGTGTGACACTTATAAAATACAATGTGTTGAAATACGAATAACCTTGAGACAATTTTAAACAACACTAGAAACGGTGTGCCACAAGGTGCCGTATTAGGGCCTTGCCTCTACTGTCGGTAAACTGTTCATCATGCAAATAATAGAAAAAAACAATAGGAAGGAAACCTTTTAATACCAGGATTGAAAATGAACACAAAAGATGATAGACAAGTTAACGAAGGAATGAAAAAAATGCATAGCTAAAGATGAACAATGCAAAATATAGAAAAAGTGAGGCACAAATAAAAAAGGAGCGGAGCGATAGTATAAACAAAAAAGTACTACAAAAAAACAGCTTGAAATAATTATAGTAAACTACACCAGGAAAGAAGTTGAAAATTTTTATCGAGTATCAAAAAAAAAAGACGAAACCCTACAAAAAAGGCACATTTTTTTGTAGAAATAAAAAACGGTTACATCTGGGGATACCTAGGGATAAGCTAAATAGATTAATGGATTATTTCCACGATATATTAAACGATGGCGAACAGACAGAGATGGAAATGAAACAAGGAGTGCATGAGAATGACTATGAACAAATATAAGACCCAAAAGTGGGGGAGGTGAAAGAAGAAAAAAAGAATAGAAAATAATAACAGCGCGGTAGTAAGTGAAATACCAACAGAAATACTGAAGGTAAGAGGAGAAAGACTACAGGAAAAAATAGCTGAACTTATTTCAAACGTATGGTAACATGAAAAAAATGCAAGAGCAACGGAAGGAAACACTTATATGCCCAATACATAAAAAAGTGATCGAACAATCTAAAAATTATAGAAGAATTGCAATATCAGAGAAAGCATTCAAAATACTAGCATAAATAAAAATAATGAGATTATAAGTGTATAGAACAAGGATAACAGGAGAAGAACAGGGAAGAACAAAAACCGATCAAATATTCGTCTTGAAAACTGTTGCAAAACAATAGCTATGAACAAAATTTAAGACTTGACTTGTTGGCCTTCGACTCCATGCCCCTTCTCAGGAGGCCGAATCTGATGAATACGGTGGCTGAGGCATGATTACGGTGTTGTTTTCGACAAAAAATTACGAACAAGCAATGAAGAGTTACCAGGTGCATCATCATGATTCAAAAGCAATGATACCGGTGTTACCTTATTTTTTTAACAAACCTTGTATTGTTTAAACAATGTCCCCGTTTCAGAAAGTTTTTGATTTCAAATAATATAAACAATAGACATTTGAAAAAAACTCATCAAAGCTGTAGGTATTTCTTTTGATATACATATTATGTTTTTCAGTTGTAATCAACGCGGGACTCCGACTGATACTGAATAATCTCAAGAAAAATGGTAACATAACCCATGATCCAATTTCTATTACCTTACCAGAAAGCAAAGAGAACATCATGTGAGTTTTCGCTTTTTCACTTTGGAAGTTTATCGTAACTAACTAAAACGATTTTCGCTTTCATAGAAATGTTCAAGTACAACACTCTAACTAGCCAATATATTGAGATTTGGATGAGCAGTTGCACAATGTGAACAGAACAATATTTCGAATAAATCTCGAAATCTTCCATTTTCCACATCCTTCTATACAAAGAAATATTTGATTAGTGCCTATCAGAAAATCATTTACCGAGCTAATGCCACAACGGATGTCCATTCTGCAGAAAAGAAAAGTTTCTATCTTTATACAAAAAAGTTGAAATCTTTCAAAGGTTTCAAAGAAAGGAAGAAAGCAATTAATTTCAAAAAATAAAGTTTTTACAAAGATGAAACAATAATTTCGAAACTACTTTTATAATATGAACATTAATTCAATGTATAATTCATACAAAAAAGTCCTATTCAGTTTGTATTCTGAACATTCATTATGGAATTGAATCAGATATTATTGACAGGATTGCTACACAATATAGTATATGAAAGAGATAAAATGTTACTTACATGGAACACTGTCCTCCTCAATGGCGGGCATTTGATGTTTCGGAATCGGGCACTTGCCTTATTGCCTCTTAACGACTTTATCATTTACGGTATGGGCGGCATGAATTTTACCACGGAAGTAAAAGATGTGGCTATTGAAGATCCCAAATTTTCAAAAGTTAACGTCAGTTTAGCACTGACATTGGACAAATTAGGTCTTGACACTGGATACGACGTCGACATAGGGATACTCAATGAACTTCCTATATACGGTGTAGGCAAGATTAAGTGAGTATTGTTATTCATACAACTATTTTTACCTCTATTTATTTAATTACTAAAACTGAATGATCCAATAACTCATTCCAAAATATTAAACCTAATTAACACTAAAAGTTTTTTCACTTGTTCACTAACGCACGCTAACCTTTTATGATTCACAGAACTGAATTCGGAACCGACCTGCCTTCTGTGTGATTGCCTCGTCTTTTTGAATTCACACACACACACACAAACACGTGCGTGTATGTTAAAAAGTGAGTCGTGATTGTAAAAGTTATCTTCAGCAAAAATAATGTTTGTGATAGATTCAATGGTTGGTTGAGGACATGCATGACTTTCTGAAGTAAAAAATATTCATTGATTTGATATTCACCTAAATATGTTGTAGATTATACGAAACTTGATTTGAACAAAAAAGCCATTTTAAACGATGTTTACATATATTGAAATTTAAGTATAATATTCTAGTTGTTGCACCCGGCTTCGTCGGCGTAGAATTTGGTTCATGACAGACCATTTTCAACAAATTGTTACAATGTTTTTTATTAACCCAAACCTTCATGTTTCCAACTTCAAAACTAACGAAATTCAATACAATCTTTAAACCCACATTTTCCCCCTTGGCGGTGGAAATTCCTGATTCCCTTTCTTGATGCTTATTTACGCTATACAAAGAACTTACCTGCATATTTCACGATTCTAGGTTCAGTAGCTTCGGCTGTACGTTAATGTAAGAGCGGGCAATAGTTAGTAGTGTATATTCTTACTTTAAAAATACAGTAACTGAAGAAAAAAATATGCCAACTTCACAGAGTAATGAATAGCTTCGAGAATCGAATTATGTTACCTATAATGAAATTTTCAAAACTAACATAACCGTTAGCGACATCTGCCCTCGCGTCTTTGCCCCGCGCATCGTTTTACAGTAGACGCGACGCGTAATGGCTTACTGCGTTGCATCAACTTAATCTTATCGTGATAACTTTTAAACGATTCGTCCAAATTACTTAGTGTAAAAGACAATGGATATCTATATTAAACACTTGAAACGACAATTTTCATTAGAATTTGACAGATATTCTGAAATGAGCATTGTAAAAAAAAGATCCAATTTAATTGTATTAATGGCTCAGTATTTTGCATATAGTGGCTACCACATATGAGGTAGATATATGCTATCGGATCTAAATCCGTTCAGTCGTTTAGGCGTTAAAGAGCCACAAACATACATCTAACTTCACAAACTATCACACTTATAGGTATTAGTATAGATAAATTTCAAATTATATATTCAATTTATTTCAAAAATATGGTTGAAGAACTGATACAATAGGATATGGATTACTTAATGCGAAAATAAATACGTTTGAAAGTGAACTTCTTCAGAATAGGAGTAGTTATCGACTAAATGAACTCTCCTGAAAAATATTTCTGTTTGGAAATAATCATTAACTAGTTTCAAATTTTAACAAAATGAAAGACGTAATCTACTCACTGAATCTATAGTTTGACTCTAAAAGTTGAACATTATTAATAATTTATACATTTAGAATGATTTCAAGAATAGGGCTGCACTTGAAAATAGTATAACGTATCAACCAGTTTTAACCAACAATATTGAAACATTTGACAATGAAGAACAAAAGTTACTTGGTGGAAATGAAAGTTACTTTATTGTTATATTTCCATATCATACCCATTTTCATTATTTTTTTCTATCATAAAGTCTTCGAATATTCGTATTCACATAAACATTCAACGTGTCTGGGAACCAAAAAAACCAAACATTGAATAATAAAAACAACACAAGGAAGACATTACTTCCATCTTTCCTATATAATTAGCCTTTTGCCCAGTCCTAGACAGGTTGATCGGCAAAAAGTTTCTCTATAATGCACACATAAAATACTTATTTTAAAATTCTAATTCTGCACATTTTTGAAATTTTTAGACTGGGAATTTCTAGGGTACGAGTTGAGATGAATGTTATGCTCAATCTTAAATCAGATTTATCTAAGAAGAATATATCTGATTTGAATCTTCAGATAGCTTTTTACGACACTCCGGTAAGTTTTTTTTATAACCGTTACACTTGTAGACTTTCGCTGCTTCATTTGACAGTTGAAAATACAAACTTTAGTTATAGTACGATAGAGTATAATTAAATTGATAAATTGGACTTAAGTGCCTTTCAGTACATAGTCTCGGTTGTTCAACTTTGTCAGTTTTGGTTTTTTGACGAATTATATGTTTGATAATTGTATGAAATACATTGTGGTCCAACGCATTAAAAAATAAACCAGATGACCTTTTTCATTTTTCATTATTACAACGGTAATTAAATGAAATTTTTCATGTCAATTTTCTCCAAAACTATTCGAGGATGACATTAAGTCGAGCATAAAAATAATCTATATGCCTACATATTATTATATGAAAGATTTGATAATGAAAAGTCACCATACCATTATTTGTTAAGGCCTACTTATGACAAAGTTGATGAGGATTGTCAAAAAGTAATGAATAATAGATAGGTAGATAGATTGATAGTTCTTTATTTCCAACAGGTATAAGTACACCCAATAACACTGTATAAACTGGATAAATGTATATATAAAATAAAAGAAAATGTTTTAAATGTGATAGAAATGTACATTCACGTGTGTGTGTTAGCAGGATTAGGTACTACAAAAGAGGAAAAAAAAAGTTACATATTGTAAGTAAATGCCATAATACAATTTGTTGCATTGAATTTATTGGAGACTCTGGAGACACCCTACATTTTGTTTTATAAGAGAGAGGACATTGTTGGATCAAGACCTTCAGATGATGTGGAGCTGCAGGTTCTTCCGGGTTTTCCTGCAGCTGAAAAAGCAAATGCGCCACTGGAATCAATGAAGTCGCCCCGGAGCGCCAATTAATTTTTATTGTTGTTTTTATTTTATTTTTATCGTTGTTATATAAAATGTAATGGATAATGAAGATATATTAATGTCACATGAACCACATATCAGATTGAAATTATTGCAAATGATTGAAACAGGCGATCTCTTTGATATGTCTGTTCTAGCACAATCACAATAAAATACCTTTGCGTGCCTACTATTTAGTCGAGGTACAGCAGCAGGAGTTCGCAGCTTATGTTATTTTGCAGTAAATTATAAAGGAACGTTATTGTTAGAATGATACGTCTAGTATTCAGTGAGATGAAATTGCTCTCATTAAGAAGTATAGAGTAATCAATGTTACGGTCTGGGTAAATACAAATTTTTTTCAAATATAAATATTTTAAAAATTTCCTTTGTACACGTTCTATGGAACTTATTTGGGTTGCATGATGGGGATACCATATTAATACCCATATTCTAATTTGCTTCGCACATAACAGTTGAATAGTAATGTCAGAGTTGCTGGATCTGCAAATTCCCTACCACTCCTCAATATGAAGACTAACATTTTATTAGCTCAAGACACGGTACTTTGATTATGAGTATTGAATGACATCTTTTGGTCAAGTAATATGCCAAGGTCGCGCCTTTGAGTCAAACGATTCAAGATTGTATTATTGAAATTGTATGGAAACATCAATGCATTTTCTTTCTTCGAGAAGGTAACAGTTGAACATTTGTCGTTTTCAACTCAAGGTGGTTTTTAGTACACCATACATGTACTGTGTTGATATCATGCTGTAATGAAATGCAATCTTGAGTTGTGAAGATACTTTGATAAATTTTCAAGTCATCAGCATACAATAGAGTGGAGCATTAAAGATCCAGTGTGAGGTCATTAATGAACAGGAGGAATAAAATCGGCCCAAGATTAGAACGCTGTGGTACTCTTGATATTGGTGTTATTATGAAAGAGCGATATTCTTGGAATTCTACATATTGCCGCCTATCGAAGAGATATGACTCACATAAAACGAATAGTTTAGAAGAGAATCCTAAAAAACCAAGCTTTCGCAGTAAAATTTTCATGTTAATTCTATCGAAGGCTTTTTGTATATCCATATAAACAACATCTACTTGACCTTTCTGGTCCAAAATTTCGCAGACATATTGATTTATACAAGAGAGGTTTGTTACACAGTTCTTATTATTTCACTTCATTCAATACAGAGTATCATTTGATCAGTGTGTATCAAAAAACCACTTACCACGCTAATAATAATAATAATAATAATATTTATTCATCATTTTTGATACACTTGGGTATATATGGTAAGTCAGTTGTACTACAGGCTAGTAAAGATAAAAAGAGTTGGAGATTGAACACAGAATCACCTTTAAATATACACATATACACATATATACACATACATATATACACACATATACAAGTAAGCATAGATGCCCTCAAATTAACTAAACATTTTACATCATTCACATAATTTAATCTAAATAACATTTCGTCCACTGTGAATTTGATTGCTTGTGAGATTGTCAATTAAAAAATCTTGGTAACTGTAATAGCCTCTTTCTAAAAGCATAGTTTTAACATAATCATGGAATACCTTGTCACTTGTGATTTTTTTAACTTCATTTGGCAGCTTATTGAAGCACGTAATGGCATTATACTGAGGGGATTTTTTATAGCTTGTCATGAGATGCTGTGGGATTTTTAGAAGATCACCGTTTCTTGTATTATGACTGTGATCTGAAGCAGTCTTATCATATAATTTATTGTTTTGCCTAACAAATGAAATACATTTAAAAATGAAGATGGAAGGGGCTGTCAATATTTTTTTGTCTATAAAGACTGGCCGGCAGCTATCCCGGAAATCCATATTGAAGATTAGCCTTATGATGCGTTTTTGTGCTATGAAGACTCTGGAAAAATCCCTTGCTCTGCCCCAAGCCATAATATTAAGACTTATATGAGGGTAGGCCATGGCATAATATATGCTGAGTAAGGCAGTTTCATCCAAACAGGATTTCAGCTGTTTTATGGCATAATATGCTCTATTTAACTTAGCACATATATAGTCCACCTGCCTTTCCCAATTTAGATTGGCGTCTAGGAACGTCCCTAAAAATTTCATTTCTTCAGAAGTTTTAATGTCATAACTAGAGTGTCGACCAATTGGAAACTGATATTATATCATGTCCAGCAGAGATGTCTGAGTAAAAGTTGATGTAAATTATTTCACTTGTAATTAAATCACTACACATCTTTCAACATAATTGGTGAAATATTGCATTGTAAACATAAAAAAACCTAACTTTAGACTTTTATTTTTTCTGTTAATCGACTTTGTTACATACTTTTAGGCGGAAATAACAGGATTCTGGAAAAATAGCAGAGCCAGCCAGTTTTTAACAGGAATCATTAACATTTTGGAAAAATTATTTTGTATGTGGTTCACATACGAAAAGGATTGTGGTAATTGCGTTTTAGCAAAACTCATCGAGTTCGGAATAAATCAGTATCTAGATCCCAAAGAAGTGAACTTGGTAGTGGATTGTGATTGCTTGAAGGTATGACATATATATTACTGGTCGAAATATAAAATTTGTTTCTACTGTCGAAATTAGGTAATTATTTCTCGCCACTAATGAATCATTAAAAAATTTCTCCACTTAAAGGAATTTGCTAGCAAGTCTCCTGATGAACAAGATACAACTCAACAGATCACATTATCCACCGATAATTACTTATATAGTTCCCGCAGGTGAAAAGAATATAGACCATATCGATTTTGTAGTTTTAGTTTGAAGGTGATACGTTGTTTATTACTTGTTCTCGTATTTAATTATATCAATTACAACTGAAAAATATTAAGTGAGATATTTGACAGTATACGAGAAATATTTGGGCACGTATGAAACCACCTAATCCCATCCCCCCTCCAGAAACAAGATTTTTTATACGCCACTGAGTATACTCTAACAACACTGTGATCGACAAAATATGATAATCACCCAAGAAATGGCAAAGAAAATTGCACATATTCTTCGAAACATTTTTTTTTCGTTCAAATCTATTTGGCCCCTAAACGTATTATCCTCATATAGAAACGTTTATGGTGGGTTTATAAAAAAAGTAACCGTCGTCCTTTTGCAGTCGCCTCATTCTGCGTACCGTCTGTTCGACTTGTTGCTCGATGTTTTCCACCTCGTTTGTAATGACATCATTCTCTTTACATCGTCTTTCGAAATTGTCAGCAAATGCTTAAGCTTTCTCTTGTTCGGTGGAGACGATACCTTGTTCACCGTGTATTGGTGGGCATGATTTTTGGCGGTCCTTCCTCATGACTCTCTGCATTTTCCATGCCGACTGATCTTCGGTATTGAGTTATGCCAAACGGGCTATCCATTGTCGGTCTAAAAGTGTTCGCAGCTCTTGCCGCAGAATCGTGCTGGCTCTGTGCTTGCACCTTTTCCCCATTGGAGCAAGTGTCCGCTATTATTTTGTCTTCAGGCGTCTTCTGATCCTGATGAGCTCCATTACTTCCGGTGTTATTTGGTCCTCTAGATTGAAGCGCATGGCTGGAACGCCCCGTGTATCTCGCTCCGTCTGTGAATGGGATAGGGTTGTGGTCAGATGACCCTTCGTCTGGTGAGTCTTCTTCGAGCTGACGATGTTCTGCATTATGTCGATGTCGAGCATGTCGGGAACGTGGTCCGCTGGAGAAACAACTGCGGTATCTTTGAAGTCCTCTAGTAGCCTGACAAGCTCCCGGCCTCTCCGGTTTTCGTTCCATTCGCGCGATATTGCGTTGAAATCGTCTATAGCCACTGTGGTCGGCGAACATTTTCGCTATGTCGGTTCTCTGTAGGTTTCACTGCGAGGGCAGGTAGACCGACGAAATCCTCAGCTGTTCGTAAAGCCTTAACCTCACCATGACGGCAACTGATTCGCTGGAGTTCCAGTTTTCGGTCCTCGTGCTGCATAAGGTCGGACATCACAACGAGAGCCGCGCTTCTTGCAGTCGCAGGACCTGGCCTGTCAACCCTGTAGGTGTTGAAGCCATCGATGGGAAGATCTCGCGTGTTTCTTGTATTGCCATGACATCAATGGGAAGCCGCGAAGACAAGCTCATGAAGTTGCTGTAATGCCTGTTGGCATTCGAATATCCTATCATCAGATTTTCCGGAATCCGTTTTGCTGCCATTAACGTCTTTCAGGTTCCTGTAGTAGGGCATACAACAATTCGTGAGCTATTGTTCTCAGCTCGATCGTAAGCCTGTCGAATATGCTCTTCAGGTCATTTCGGTCATTTCCTCTGAGGGTCTTAGTCTTTGGCGGGGTCCTTTCTTCAGAGCCGCGGTCTTGGGCTTAGACCGCTGGCTTTCTGGTTTGCTAATCCCCGCGCTCTTTACAGAAGGAGCGCTTGTTTCGATTTGAAAAACATCTAGCATCCTCTGTAGCTCGCTGGGTGAGTGGGCCTCCCTGCAATTACCACATTTCGCAGGCGTGTTCTTGGAATTCATGTTGCTCGCCTCAATTCACGCAGAGGACCGTCGCATGGCAACATCTCCGTGAATGGCATCTCTGAATGGCATAGGTGACACTACGAAAAGACACCTATGTTTCTAGTGGTTCTACCCGCACTATGAGGTTAACGTAATTGCTAACCTTGTAGATCATGTCCTCTGTTCGTGGTAATTTTACTAGGAATAGTGGTAGAATCTTCCGCGTTCTCCACCTTGTTCTCCGATGACATTCGAGGACGGTGAATCCCTGTCTTCTCAGGTGTGCCATCGCTTGCTTCTACGGTTTCCGGAATACCATGGGTCACCACGTGCAGCGGGATCTCTTTTTTCAGAGTGTACGTGTGAAACTCCACTCTGTTCTCCCCGAAGAACCGGGTGGCCTCAGTGATATGTGTATATCACCTGACAGCAGTTTCGCCTTTGTGAAGAGTATCTTACGCCTGGCGGTTAATTTCAACGCGGCTCGACTGCATTTATGAAACCTTTGTCTAAGAGGAAGATTGTCAACTAGTGACAGCTCCATCTCGTGAACAAAGCTCTAAGAGGGGAAGAAACATCCCATGTATAGTATGTTTCACTCTAAATGGTATTGGCTTATCAACTGCGATAAACTACCTGGTGTATAGTGTAGTGTAGTGTAATATTGTAATTATCTTCCCTTTATATGATTCGGGTTTTACAAGTTAAGGGTTTTATTATAATCGTTTAGCCAATACCATATACCGTGAAACACACTATACCGATTCTTTAACAAAAATCAAATAAGTCTGAAAACTGTATCGAGAAGAGATACATTTTTTATTCTTTTTTCATTTTTGATCTGAGTATAATTCTTTTACTTCCTATCCCTGAAATGTTTTGAGGAAGATTATATTCAATGTCAATCAATTTATAGAATTCAATTATCTAAAATGAAAATAATTTATCTCAGCATGGTGCAGTTGAGCTAGAGTAGCTTTGTGTACAGTAGAAAAAAACAAAAGTTATCGAGGTTTACCCTTTGAACTTCTTCTTGGTCGCATTATCTTTGCTCTTTCATAAAATATAGGTACCTTATCCAAATAAATACAAACATAGTAACGTGCTTTTCATTTCAGAATAATAAATACAATCTGAAGAACGTACTTGAAAATATTGGAAACTCTTACGTGCATGGAGGTAGCGAAGCTGTTAATAAATATTTGGCGAGCGAAGAAGTATACAATATTTTATTGGACTTGTACCAAAATATTTCTGCTATTATTGTGAATGAATCATACAGATTGTGATGAAAAATCAATAAATGGAAATATATTTTTCACGTGATATATGTGAGTCTCATGCCATGTTCTTTTCAATGACTCTAGGTTTAAAGGACGACTCTTATACACGACCAATATGGGGGATGCAAAGGTGACAGAGGTAGCAAGAACGTATTCTGGGAGGGTTGCCCCACAATGTTATGGAACCTGGTAATGAACGAGTTACTTACGCTTTTGTATAATTATGGTAATGGAGTACTGGGCTACAGGGCTACTATTAAAAAGAACGGTTTCTATTCAAATCTGTTTGAAATATGTTTTTCCCGTTAACCAATTGAGAAAATAATACAAAAAATCGCATATAATCTAATTTGGACCAATGACAATTGTCGGGTTCGCATGAATTGAAAAATGAGACAAACTTATTACTAACTGAATTTATCGCAGAACCACACTGCCATGTTTTCAAGAACTTTCGAAAACTTTCTGAAAATCGGAAGTAAATGGTGAAACTGAATGATGAAATCAGGACCTATACTTTTCATCATATATACAGTGTGGTCATTTAAGTGTGCAACATAAAGTGCATTTCTTTTGAACTAGTCAACTCCAAAAATTGAAATTTGGGATAATGAAATCAATGAATACTTCATTTTGAACACTTTATTTTGAAGTGGAATTGTCAGATGAAACTTTAGAGATTGTGGCTGGGAGCCATCTGGGGAAAAAAAATTAAGTAGAAAGGGGGGTCTTGTGACACATATTTTTGAAGCTCCTGACGAATGCTTCACATCTCTAGAATATAATGTCAGTATTTTCAACTACTACAAAATGGCGGAACTTTTAATGATTGCCTGGATACATTGACATTTAACTACATAATATGAGGTAATAAGCTTGAGGTCAGTTCAGAAGATGCTCGAAATGATTGCCCTGAAATTCTTGACATATGAACAGCCTATCCAATATTTCACGACGAACAATTTTGAACACAGTAACGTCAATATCTCTACAAATATTTGTTATTATCTACCGTATATCCAATATTGAAGCAGGTTCAGTTTCGTACACCTTTTGCTTCAAATAGTCCCATAAAAAAAGTTCAAAGGTGTCAAATCTGGCGAGCGGACTGGCCATTCTGTAGAACCTCGATAGCCGATCCACCGAACGATGGAAAAGTAGTATCCAAATATTTTCTTACTTGTCTGGAGTAATGTGGTGGTGCTCCATTGTGTTCATTGAAAATCTTCTCGGTCTCGTGAAAGTTACGCATTGCAGCGTAAATAAAAACTGCTTCAACTTTTTCTTCCAATGGACGAGAATTGACCATTTTAGAGATTGTTGACGTGGTACCTTTCTACTAATAAAACCGAAAACTAAATGAGAATATTCTAACTGAACAATGATGTTCATTTTCGAACTGACAATTTTTGTCGCTTTTATAAACAAAAAATAACTTAACAAACCTTTTCGGGTTGTTGAGATTGCCATATGGCAGATAAAAAGGAATATTTCTAGAAATATCGATATTAATGTGTTTGTCTTCAGGAAATTATTAAATGTTCCGCCATTTTGTGATAGATGAAGATATTGACTTGATATTCTAGGGTTGTGAAGTATTCTTCAGGAGCATCAAAATGATGTGTCACAAGACCTCCTTTTTCATTTATTTTTTTTCCTAGATGGCGCCCATTTTGAAAGAAATTTTACTTCAAAATAAAGTATTCATGCATTAATTTCATTACCCCAAATTTCAATTTTTTAGTTGACCCGTTCAAAAATTAAAAGGGGGTACATTAAAGAAATGCACCGTATAATTGAAACTTATCGTTGAAACAGTTTCATGAATGTTTTTGAATAAAACAAATTTCAATTTTTTAGTTGACCCGTTCAAAAATTAAAAGGGGGTACATTAAAGAAATTAACTGTACCTAAATCAATTAACTGCACAACCTAAATACAAATATTGCCAAAAGTTGTTAATATTCGATAATTATATTAGGTATACTCAGAATGGTTTCAAGGCAACCAGCATAAAGGGTAGGTGAAAAAATATAAAAATTATACAGGAGTAAAGTACATTTATTTCAGAAAATTCAGCAAAATGTTATTGAGAAAAGTTGTTTACAATTGAAAGTTATGCCTAAATACCAAAACATGGCATCCCAAGTAATTTTTTTATCAATGATTTCCCAATTTGTAATTTTTTTATAACTAACACTTCCATGAAGTTGTTACAACCAAATCAGTTGAGCATAACTTTGTGCAAATTCATGTATATTTGTGCAATTGAGTTGGATTTTGATTCTTTTAGGGAATCACAAACGTCATGTTTGTTATAACGATATTTATCTTAACTAAAAAATTTCGCGAACCATATTTTTAACAAGGTAAAATATTATTGATGATAATATGCATATTCAAAAACTTTCATTTGTTGTGAACATTTTGTATTTGAAATGTTTGTGAAAAAGCTGTACGAATGAACTATAAACCAGTGCGTGAAGCAGTAGATATATTCAATGAACGTCATCCACTAAATAGAATTTTTAATAATTTCAAACGGACTGGGTGTTTAGACTATAAATATAAAAATGAACGTACTAAAAATCTATGTAATGAGGAAAATCAATTAGAAGTACTTCAGGTAGTTGTTGAAAACCCTAGAAGATCAACACAAGAAATTTCTAGTTATACGGATATAATACAAAGCTCTGTTGAGAATATTATTAAAAAACTCAATATCATGCGTATAAGCCAATGTTTATTTGCACGTTTCAAGAACGAGTTTATGACTTACGGTGTGACTTCTCCATGTGGATTCAAGGACAAATAGACGGTCAACATGATGTCCTGCTTATTCTACAAGAATTGTTTTAGAATGGTTAAATGGAAAATTTGGTGATGAATGGTTAGGACGAAATACTGATCCACGGTAGTCTCCTCGTTCGCCAGATCTCACCACATTAGAATTTTTCTCCATTAGATTATACCATGTATCTCATCTGTCCATAGAATGAATAGTTTCGAAGAAGATATCTATGAATATACCCAGGGTGGATTCTTTGTTGTCCAATGATCTCTCGATTCTGCCAACCACATGGTGAAGGGCCGAATCAGTAGACCTTCCCGGAGTATATGCATGTTGATTTGGATGAAGTGGGTTTTGAACAAGTACTTCATCTCTTATGTACCGCTCACATAGCCTCTCCATGGTTTTTAAGAAAAACGATGTAAGACTAATTGGTCGGAATGCTTTTGGTAGGGTGTAGTCCATCCTACCTGGTTTGAGTATAAATACTACTCTTACTTCACTCCACTTACTGGGAATATACCTCAGAGCTAGAGAGCCTCTGAATATTGTGAGTTATTAGAAGATGTATGTGATGGTATTGGCCAACACTTGCTGAAAAACCATAATGTTCAAATAACTCTTCAAGATGAGATTTTCACTAAACAGTTCACAAAACTACGGCGATTCAGTGGAAATCCCACAGATTTCCAGTGTCACTATTTTCCGAGTTCGAAGCCTCTGATGAAACTAGCCGCTCGCACCAGCAAAACGTCAGGAAGAAATCCAAAAACTCACGGCCTTCAAACCCGGAAAATAGTGGCACTGAAAACCTCGGCTGCGAAAGCCTTCACCGTTTTCTTAGAGATTTGTTTATATTCATATCGGTATATTCATTCATCATTATATCTGAAGGAAGAAAAACCTTTTTGGTGTTCTTTTTCTGCAACATTATTCAGACAACATCCATTTCTAAATATTATGCTCTACAATTCATTTTTAACACATGTAAATGATCCAGAATTATAAGAATTTTTCATATAATAAAATTGGAGCTGATCGATTCGAATACTGAATATTAGTATATAATATCGTTTAACCGGCTATTATTGTTTTATTTTAGGCGAATATAATAATCATAAGAAAGAAGTTTCAAAAAATGAATCAATCACTCACTTGGCATTTGCCACTCGGAAAATGAAAAAACGGCAAAGTCGGTTAGGAAAATTATAAATCCAAAAATGAATAGATGACTAACGGCTCCTAAGTCCACGGCTCACGCCAGAAGTAGCGCAGGAGGAATCAAATTAAGTTCATCTTCTCTACAGAGGGCCCTTTCCTACTTCTGATGGTCTCAGGCAAGATTGCATCTTGAATCTATCCCTCCTCCCTACTAATATTATAAATGCGAATGTCAGTTTGTTTGTTACGGTTTCACGCGAAAACTAGTCATCCGATCATCATGAAATTTTGTACACATGTTCTTGTAGATATTAGAAGTAACATAGGATACTTTTTATTACAAAAATATTTTTTATGTAAGATAAAAATTTGTTTGTCAAAAAAATCTCAAAGTCTAGCTAATTTGTTGGTTATGTTAGGTTAGGTTAGTTTAGGTCTAGGTTAGGTTAGATTAGGTAATAATTTTTGAAAATTGATAATCCCAGCCAAGCTTTAAAATATAGTTTTCATATTGATTCATTTCTATTGTACTGACAGTTATTTAATGGCATAAATGCGAGCGAAACCGCGGGTAAAAGCTAGTACTAATATAAATGTGAAAGTTTGTGAGGATGGATGAATGTATGTATGTGTGTGGCTCTTTCACATACACTTATACAATACTAGCTGTTCCTGGCTGTTTTACTCGCGTTACCGTGGGAACCTACCTTATGTGTTATACCAGGTCATGATCTATCTATATATCAACTTACATTTGAATCCGTTGAGCTGTTTAGGCGTGAAAAAGTACAAAACGTAAATACATACAATACATTCATCCATCCTCACAAATTTAACACATTTATAATATTAGTAGGAGTAGGATTAGTAGGATTACCAATGTATTTCATTCTGATCCTTTCAGTTTTTTTGCTGATGCTCTTCAATATTGTTCAAGTGGGTACCTATTGATCGACTGGCACTCTTATAACGTACAGCCGAAGCTACTAAACCTAGAATGCAGGTAGGTTCTTTGTATAGCGTAAATGAGCCCCAAGAAAGGGAATCAGGAATTTCCACTACCCAAAGGGGGAAAATAGGGGTTTGAAGATTGTATTGAATTTCGTCATTTTTGAAGTTGAAAACCTGAAGTTTTGGGTTGATAAAAAAATATTGAACCTATTTGTTTAAAATGGTCTGTCACAAAACTTAATGTGACAAACCAAATTTAACGCCGGCGAAGCCGCAGGCAACAACTAGCATACAGTATGTTCAAGATAAGGAGGGCCGTGACCGTGATAGATAAAAAATCGGCTGAATTAGAATAAAGTTGCAAATTTTTTACTGCTCCCTTATCTTGGACACATACACTGAATAAATGTTGAGTCACTGTTGCTGTAGGTAGAAGTGACGACAATTGCTTATTCAGTCCAGAATTGAAATATTCATGATAATATTATCAATTGAAATCTTCATTTTTTACCTATGTGGTTGAATAAGATAATTGGTCATATACATGAAAATGAGCATTAGCGTATACTTACAAAATTCAAAGTAAATACTTCGAAGAATAAAAATAGAAATATCAACAAAACTTTTTGCTTAGAAGTAGAAAACCAATGCTTATGAAATAAAAGTATTAGGTGCAGAAGTGTGAGTATAGCCAACCATTTGCTTAAGTAGAACTGAGTTTCTACGAATTTCACGTGGAATGGTCTTGGTTTTTTGTATACAGTGGTATGGTTTCAAAACAAAATGGCTGAAGTTTTAATTTTTTGAAATAAAAAGTACTACCAACAACGGTGTACCCAGCGGACTGATGATTTTGAAAGCATGTTCAGTTTGAATACAAATATGTGGAGTGGTTAGCTGAGAACTTTCTAGGTGAAAGTCTAGAATGACTCGGTTGTGCATTATCAGTTATCCACAGGCTGAAAATTTGTTTGATCAGATTCAGAGAGAGAGAGAGAGAAAACTGAAGTACTTGCTGTCCTGGTTCCATACATGACAGTCGGATCTGGAAATATTTTGAAGTGAGAGAAATAAAGAGACGTTCCGCAAACAACGTTATCATTGCTGATCACAACAATGATAACGATAGATCTTGGGCCTATTGAAAATATATTGGCAGAGACGTAAAGAAGGCTTACAATACGAAATGGGCTGAAAAGTTCGCAGGCTAACAAACAGATGGCGCTACTAGCAATAAATCCACATTAATATATCTGTTAACCATAATCATTAATAGACACGTGTGAAAATTTCACAGTTGTCGCACTATCAGTTTGTGGGATAGAACTTTTTGAGTGAAGCAACTTTTGTTAATTTGGAGAAAATGGATGAAATGATTTTCGTGTTTTAATGAAGCATGGCTTTTTGGTAAAAATAGTTTTGGCTTGATAAACGTCATTCGGACTTGGCAACAGGAAAAACAATCGTTAAGAAGTGGTTTGCTAAGTTCAAATGAGATGAAATGAGGACCGAGGACGATAGACGCGGTGGATGCTCCAAAGAGGCTGTTACCGATGAAAACATCAAAAAAATCCACAAAATTGATCGACATAACTGATGCTCCAAATATATCAAAGGAACGTGTTGGATATATCGTGCGTTATTATTTGGGTAGGTATGTTCAAAGTGGGTGCCGGGCTAGATCACAATCGATCAAAAACAACAACGAATTGATGATTCTGAGCAGTGTTTGAGCTGTTCCACCATAAAAAACCCAATTTTATGCATCAATATGTGACAATTTATGAAACATGGATCCATTATTTTACACGAGAATCAAAACGATCGTCATCTGAGTGGACTTCACGTGGTGAATCGACTCCCCAGGGATCCATATTGTCTCCAACCCTCTTATTATTGTACAGTGTCATCCCCAAAGTACGCACCATTTGGAAAACTTATTTATTAAGGGTTTTTACGAAAAAAGGGTGACTATGAAAAAAAAAAAAATATGGAAACGATAAATAGACAGCATCCTGTCTTTCATTCTGAAAGCCTGTAATATTACAAATTATACAACTATGGTGTTAACCATGGTCAATTGTTTTGAAAAGTAAATTCATTTTCAAAGTTTTTGGTTCAAAGTTATTTTCATTTTTTGCTAACACCGAAAATTACTCAAAATTATACAGTAATGTATCAAGAACTTAATATTCAATAATATCAAATCACAAAACATCAAGATAAAATAGGCATTTCGGAACAAACTCATTGATATTCTGGAGATTCAACTTAAAATACTTATTTTGGACAAGAAAATCTCCAGGAAATCAATGAGTTTGTTCCGAAATACAGCTAAACAATTATTCTAAATACCATTTCCCGAGATTCCAGGACATCGGCTGCTGATGCACATCTTCACCGGTAGCAGGAGGTTGAATATCTCAATGAGTATCTAGAAGTAATTTCGAACTGGGGTGAAAGTAACCAGGTTCGAGTCAATGAAAAAAAAAACCCATGAATCGGTTTTCTCCAGAAAGATAAATGTCTCCGAAGCGGATATAATAATGTCAAGTTAGACTATTCCGCTTTCTGCTTCGATAAGTTTGTTGGGGGTTGAAATGGACACCAATATGTCTTGGCACAATCATGTCGCTGGAATTGCAAAGGCTGCTTCTCAAAAGCTTGAAACATTGTTCCAAACCAGACGTCGTACTTATTGCTGGGTGTATGGAAGAAAATGACAATGTACGCGGTGCGGAAGTACGTGAAATTTTGCCAATATAATGCAAAATTACGAAGCAGAGTCATGTTACCTGCGAAACTGCCGGTCCAAGAACACCAAATTCTATCATTTACAATCCTAAAAAAATGCAAACGTGTCTGTTCATTTTCACTTTGATATGAGCGTTTACATTTTTTTGAAGCATTTGCACGGCACATATAAGCAATTATTCATAATAAATGAAGCAAATGCTTATACTGTCAATTTCTGCTCTAACCAATTTTATCGCCTACCTTACTGTTTTGAATGCTAGCACTGCATCCGATTATTATGGTCTTTTTTGTGTTTTTCCAATATTTTCAAGCATTTCAACTTCATAATCATATTCTGTGATCTAGTTAACTACATCTAGGCATACTTTTTTGAACATCCTATATGATAACAGTATAATGGACAATCAGAAATACTCGAATATTCAGGGCGAAGCCTTATAGTATTCTTCATGCCAAATTGATTGATTCTAACCTACCAAATCGTCAACAGGACTAGGAAAACCTCTTGACTGAAAATGCTTTTGTCAAAAATCAACTTGCCACTTTGACAATTTCTGAATATGGGGCAAAAACTTCATGATGATTTTCTCAAACTGTTCTCCGAAAAAAACTCAGATGGGACTTTACATTTGCGTCTCAAAGGAAGAGAACTCTTCCAGAGGATTGGGTGAGATTCAATTTATGTACAAAAAATAATTTTGAGTTTCTGAATATGTAATATTTTCAGCACCCGTCTCAAAGCTGAAGACATGCACAAGATAGCTGCTTTTTTGATTTCCAACCCTGAAATAATCAGTTTGGATATGTGCTATAACAATATAGGAGACAAGGGTTTAAAAATACTGTCCGAAAATTTTTTCAACCAAGACAACAAACTGGCCCATATAAATTTGATGTGTTGCGACATTCGAGCAGAAGGAATGAAGAGTTTTTCGTCCTCTGCATTCTTGAAGTTGAAATCATGTAGGATCAATGGAAACAACATAGGTGCAGAGGTAATTTCACATAATATTTTTGTTATTCATAATTTTTATTGACAAAATCGTCGTTACTACACTAAAGAGCTTGTTGGTGAAATTTTCATATCAATATGAGTTGAATCTAAAATAAAATGATGATAAAAAAACTTTTAACGCAAGCTTTTATTTAAGGGCCCTAAAAAAATCAAAATAAAATTTTAAATCACATTTATTTATAACTTTACAGAATCGAAATTATAATAAAAGCTTATCGAGATAATTTCAATTTGTAATCGAAATTTTGTAATTTGGTAGACTCCTACTAAACTTGTAAGCAATTCATAATGTTTGTAATTAAATAAAAGTGCCGTGAAATTTGAAATTTTGTTTAAATTTCATCTGACTGAATATGTAGAGATTTCTTCTAGGCATCGTGACAAGCTTTTATTATAATGTTAATTCTGTAAAGTCATAAATGAATGTGGTTAGTGTGATTTGAAATTTTATTTTGATCTTTTTGGGGCACTTAAATAAAAGCTTGTTTTAAAAGTTTTTTTATCATCATTTTATTTTATGTTTATAGTTATCGATCAATACGAAAGTCCATCTATGAAACGGAGAGTCCTTATTAATTTTTTTTCTAGAAATATATTTTTTTTATTGAAGCCAACCCTGGATATGGCATCTATTTCATGGTAGGCCTACCAACTGCCTATCATAAACGAATGCGTAAACAAAATTTCATGTCCCTGCTATTTACCGCTGAGGATATCTCTCGTACGGAGCCGATCCTGGCAGCAGCATCAGGTCACGTTTTTGATCAACATGCATTGATATCGGTTCTGGACCAGCATGCAAAATTTCAGGTCAATCGGATACCGGGAAGTGGGTCAAATTAAACTTGCAAGATTTGTTACCACACATCCAAGTCAAGTTAAATAAAAGCTTTTAATTTTAATAATTAGAACTGTTGTCATCACTAAAAATCTACCTTTCTTGCAAAAAAGAAAAGATTTTGAATACATAACGCTCTTAATGTAAAGAATATCCATACTTTGTATTGAAAACAATTTTAGGGAGCTCGTTACATCGCTAAACTCATCCAGAATTGTCCCACGTTGGAAAATATAGACATTGCTGAAACGGAACAAACTTTGGAAAGTATCGAATCTATTCTGATTGTGATAGAAGATAGTACCCTAAAAGCTGTAGACATTTCCAGAATCATACCTGCAAGTTACTACACTAAGTTCAATACGGCTACACTAGCCGACGATATTGGAGTGGTGCTTAAAGTAAGTAAAGGAAAAGGTGCAGGGGGTATTTCTAATCAGTTTTCGTTGCAGCTTAACTCAACTTTGGTTGAGATACACATCCAAAAATGTCACATCGACGGTCACGACATAGAGTTATTATTGAGCGGATTGGAAGCTAACAAAATTTTGGAAATGCTGGATTTGGGATGTAACCACATAGGCGACTTAGGCGTCGAATATCTGGCACAATGGCTTAAACGAAGACCAGCACTGCGCGCTCTGAATTTATCTTCGAACTCAATAAAAAACTTTGGGGCAAGGTATTATTTTCAGCTTTTTTCAAATACTTCAAAATTATAATCAATCGACTTTTATGTTTGCAGTTGAAAGTAATTACAGTACACGCCACGGCTGCTGGCGAGCGATTGCGCAGGTATAAACTCTCGCAAATAAATGACTATTGGATTACGATAAGCCCCTTGCCGGCCAGTAACGTACATATAATTAGTTTCAACTGGGGTTGCAAATGAAACATAACTTATTTATAATTTCTTTCCATATTCTATTCAGTATTATAGGTAGTAGTACAGTTCATTAAAATGTTATAAAAATAAAATTTGATCAGTCACTATCTGAATACAAATTTTCTTCATCTTCACTACTGCTTGTGCTGTTATCGTCATTTAAATCTATAATCACTGGATTTACCTCTGTTAGAACGTCTGTAAATGTTTCATTTTCCAAATATTTCCGCTCTTTATCTATACTACATGTCGGCAACCCTTTTGCCATTCCTTTGAAATGTTTAAATCAAACTCATGCTCCGCCAGTTTCCTCACATCTTCCAACTTAAAAAGTTACATTCTTTTGGGACACCTTGTTTTTAACACTAGCCCAAATGAGTTCAATGGGATTCAAATCCGGATGGTAGGGTGGAAGTCGTAAAACGTTCAAGCAGAACCTCACCGAATCTGTATTTAATATGATGCTTTTTATTTACCTAGATCAACTCGTATAATTTGGGTTTGGGCATGTTGGGGTTGAACATAATGCTTTTATGGTGCAGCCACTTCACCATGTCAGCTTTCCTAGAATTTGTGTTGGGGCTGGATTAATTTGAATATTATGGTATGGAGCATTATCGGTCACGCAACCGAACCGAATTCCCAGGTAATCCCCTGATGTAGTGCCTGATTTAAATATAAGTCGATACGGTATGAAGGTTTGGGGTGTTATCGCAGACACCTACTTGAAACCATTAGAGACATCATAAAAGATCATACTCCGTAATTAAAATATAAATACCCAACGGAAAAATTATTCACAGAAGCAAAAGATCTGGATGATCGTCAACTTTACTACCAATCACTAGTTCTTCACTACTATGAAAACAAGCACAAATACGAGCCTATATAGCACAAACATGAAACACGCTTCAAAGCCGAAACAACAACCATTCGAAGAGTTAATACACGAAAATGTCAAAGTTCTTTTACTTACCTCTTTCCAGTCTTATTTGCTGATATACCAGATGATCTCCGAAGAATACGATCACTCAACTTGCTAAAAAAAACTAAAGAATTGGCTTCATAGTTATCCAAGAGAAAATATACACCGATCAATTAATAGGAAAAACTTGAAGAGAGATACATTGTGCCTTGCCTACTTGTCATAAGCAAACTTGTATCTGTATTGTACATGAACAGAATTATATTTATATGCTTTCTTGTTTGTAATATCTATGTTATGTTTTTTTGTTATCTATATCTATCTATCTTCTTGTAAGATCTTCCTTCTTTTGAGCGCTTCGTATTTATTCACCACCATTTACTGTTAGTAATAGTTGTATTCAAACTCTAGTAGTTGTATATTTGGTGAAAATAGTGTATTGTATCAATATTATTAATTAGGTATAAATCCCATGTCACCTCCTGCATGGACAATAATGAGTCCTGGTTCCTTCGCAATATTTTTAAATAACCCTTTGGTTGATTCATCCGTCCAGTTCTTGGAAGATGTATGTCCACTATGAAGGTATGTTTCATCAAGAAACACAATTGGTTACTGTTGGCTACGAAAATAATTGATTTTTTGTAGATACTTGATCCTCAATGCTCTACTGTCTATTTTCTCTATCAAAATGTTTCTATTATTTTCAGTCCTTCTCCATTTGGAACCTACTTTTTTTTAAATTCCACGAAAAGATGTTTCGGAAGCCACAATTTCCAAAACGTCATACAGTTTTAGCGTAATACGACACTCTTCCGTCTTATGAAAATGGTAAATAATCCATTTTATATTGGAATACTCTTCTAGGCCGCTTCTTTCTTGGGGTGGAAACATTCACTTCTCCGTTATTTGCAGAAATTAATTGCTCTACTTCTTCAACCACACTTTCAATGGTTCTTATTGAAACACCTTATAAAAAATAAATATTTGTGTTGAAATAGTTATTTTTTTATTTATTTAATGTTACCTGTAGCGAGAGATGTTTTATATTTTTTCACATTTGATAACGTATCCTATTCACATTTAACATTTTGAAAATGATTGAATACTTTAAAAATTATTTCACGTGCCTGACTCTTGATGACTGGTTTTTTGTTAGGCGATGACATTTTTTCAGAAACAACACAAATTATTCAGACAATGCCAAACTCCAACAGCATTGGCGGACAAGTAATGACACGTCTCTGTACGGAGCATTTGTATGTCTTGCAAGAGCTGTCTGCAGTGGGGGTTAAAATGAAAATGAGTTTGTGCACATAGGGGCGGGCTCGCCATCACGTTTGGCGCTTGCTGTACCTACATATTAGGAACTATTGAAATGGAAGGATTTTCGTTCTGTTTTTATCACATGATTTTTTGAACTATACAGCTACATCACCAATACTGATGAAAACATTGATAGTCAATTTGTCTTTCAGAGCCCTCAGTTTTGGTTTACCGTTTTCTAAAGTTCGATTTCTGGATATAAGCAACAACAATATTGAAGATTTGGGCCTGACAGACTTGTTGGACACAATAAAGAAATACTGTCGAATGCGTATTTTATTCATGTGGGGAAACAACTTTGGAGCAGTCGCTTGTAAAGTATTGAAACAATTTTATTTTCAATTATACTTTTTTTATCTTTATCGGAAAATTGCTCTAATATTCCACATATCAAAGTAAATAAAGGATAATTTTTCTGAAACAATCTCAATATCAGGACCAGTTCTTGTCATTACTGACTCATTCAAAAATACGCAGATATTATGATTCAGTTGTGAAGAAGGCTACACAAACTTTCGTTTTCTTGAAGACAGCATTAACCATTTTTTTTTTCAATACTAATCTGAATAATTCATGAAACATTTCTTGTTTAATTCAACGATGCCTCTGTGTTCGATAATACTAAAACCAAAATTATAAATGGAGTCTAATAAGAACTATCACCGCTGCTTGATATTTGATGAAAATCCATATCAAAAGTCATTAATACAGTTTATCGTATGATTTTTATAAAAACCTCGACACGTGTTTTGTTCTGAAGAACATAAAAATGCACCATGATCAGATTAATTCAATTTAATTCAAAGGATTTCAGATCTGCAAAAAATACCGATAATGGCTTACCAAATGAATCTATTGAAAACACTCAAGTTAGCAAGATCCCAAATTGAATTGAACGTTTTGTCACTGAAACAGAATTCAAATTGGTATTAAATAATTATCTGCACTATTGGCATCATCATATTTTTTTGGGTATATAACCTTTTCTAAATTTTTTTCGGGTAATCTTTTTAATTTCTTTCAGGGATTTCAAATCAATTTATATTATATTAGACAATGGAAGTCCGAACTGATGAAATAGAAAATGAATGGTAATTGACTAGGTTGCGCAGATAACTTTCTAAAAAATGACACTTCGCAGTTTCAGCTGTTGAATTTCATCAATCTAGGCGATAGAAAAAAATTAGTTGATCAATGGAATAGACAGTAGACATCAACACGATGATTTTGAGTACCTAGTAAAGTAAAGTTTTGACTACCATTAAAGGGGTTATTTTCAGTTACTATTGTGTAAAATCAAGGATGATTTTATTTTCATGAAATGAAAAATACCTTAAAAGTTTTTGAAGATGATCACTTGGTGATTGAAACAAGTGTCGAGGTGTTGAAAATGACGATTTGGTGTTGAGATAGAATTCCAGTAATATTCATTAGTACACCACAAGTATAGAAATTATCAACAAACACAAATTTCACTACTTTTGGGACCTCTCAAGTGTCATAGAATTAAAGTTGTTAAAAAACACCCCATGTTAATTTGATTTTTCAATTTCTTTCCTCTATTTTCGTTTTGGTTTCTAGAGGCTGAGTCGGATGCTCAAATCTGAAATAATAGAGCAAGAGTACATTGACGTGAGAATATACGAGGTTGATGGAGAACTGCATGCTGCCTATTACCCCACCAATCATTACAAACACAAATACTACGGCGTCATGGATTATGGATGCAGAGTTGAATTGAAAATCAAACGGAACGAAATTCCTGATCCACTGGCGCTTCCCAGAGAGTTGCTAAATTTCAGGCACATCGGAAGATATCCCCCCGTTGATAAGAGATTGGGGTTGTTGCAGAAGAAAGTGAAAGAATGTCCTTCGTAATACACGATCAGAAATAATGAAATGCCGTTTTATTTTTTATTCTTCATTTCATCAAGTCCACAATTCTTTTGTTACAATTCAATTATTCAGTCATTTGTTTGAAACGTGACAAATGAATGTTCAAGTTTCCATTCAATTGGGCACCTGCACCATTTAGTTACAGGAATATGCCCCGCTTGAGGTAATCCACTCAAAAGAGTCATCTCAGTGGAGAACTTTTTCCGCCGGAAGTATCAGCCACATTCCGACAGATCTGGACATCAAAGCTGTCGGGGAGGAAGAAAGTTGCTGCTACAGATATACTTGTCATTCCGATGTTACTCTACTTCTTTGAAGTCGTGAAGTGGACTCAAGAGAAGCTAGCTGTATCAATGATGGATTTTCTATGTATGGTCTGCAACTATGAAAGTTCAGTAATTGGTGCATTTCTTTTTGTGGCGGCTGTCCGAGAGGCTGATGAACTCGGTTTAATTTTCGACACTGAGCGAGGTAATCACAACTTTGTTCTCGAGTTGACATATGTCCAGCAAAAGACCCACACTTCACTCATGCAACAACATACGATATTCTTCAACAAGTGTCTACTTCAACAAAATTGAAGACCTTGGCTCATCAAAACACCTGGTCTTTGCTTTCTTCAGGTCGAGTGGACTGTAGTCAGAAACTGTCGGGTTCATCATGGTCTGCCAGGATTGTGTCTTTGACACTTCAATCAATCGAGGTCGTGTGATGGGTATAGAGGTTCCAGGCACCAGGTGCAGTGTCTGCTTCGTGACGTCTGAGACACTTATGTAGTTGGTGCCTGTATGTCCAGTAATTGCCGCCTCATCCTATACCCACCGACTTGATGCGGACCTAAGAGTGCTATATTACCACCTTTGACACTCCTACAGTGTGGACGAAACACGGTGTTGCGTTACCTGTATTGCCTTTAGAGTAGGGAAGTGAACACCCGAAAATGATGCATTTCTATGAGAACTTGCATCAGAAATCGTTCGTTCCACGGTTATACTTCCCCCTACATAAGGCAAGCCGTGAATTTTTAATTATCCAATGATGACACTAGATGGTGCTTGTAAAGTCATGAGGAGTTCGGATCCTCTTCTATGCATGGTACTCGACCATGATAGTGAAGTTATTAGAGTATTTCATTTCAAGACAGGTGCTCGATTAACTAATGAACACAACTCTTTCATTGAGTTGAAACACGTCAAACATAAGGCTCATTTCATAATCATTGAAATCGCTTTGTTTTTGTGGCTACATTGTGTTCTATTCGAGAACACAATGTAGCCACGGTGTAATAAAGAATTTAATTTTAACATTTTCCAGGTCAAGTGGGTTGAAGTAGGAAACTGTGAGAGTTTCATTATTTCGTCATCTTTTGCAGAAACATTTTCAAGAAATTCATCCAATACTTTTCTCAATAAGCATATACAGTGCAACAGGAAATTGTTTCAATTTATATTGTGTATATTTCAAGAATTTTGAATGTTTTCACATTGATCAAGTTTTGAAAACAGCATTCAACATACGATTGTGATTTGTCATAACTTTTATCAGTATGAAAAATGATTTTGAAACGAGTTGTACGATAGGTATACTTTTTTAAGGCTGCTACTACTTTAATGCTTTGTCGTACCATTGAAATGAATTGTTTTTGTCTGATCAATACCCTAGATTGCTGAAAAGGGTGGTGTTACCTGGGACCTTTTGAATTAAGTTTTACTTTTCAGTACATTATCTACATCATTATCATATTTTTCTTCAATGAAACCGTTCAACATAATTTGTCTGACTGTCGCTTTGAAAAAAATGCAGTGTCATATAGTCGGCAATATTAATATAGTCTTCAATGTTCAGAGTAGCTTGAAGCATCGCAAATTGTGCCCAGAGTACGGATGTCTTATATTTCTTGGATAATTCAAAGTAAAGCAACAAAACGTTTCCAAAGACTTATTTGCTGCTATTTAAATATCACCACAGCTGAAACTTTTCGTATACATTGATTGCATTATGCCTTTATTTGAATGTTTGTATTAACATACCTATTGCGACAATTGTTTAAATGTTTCTATAATTTCAGAAGGAGTAGGTCCTACACTCCAATTAACTGTCACTTGACATTTCCTATACAATAATAATAATTTTCGATAGTACAAAACAACTTAAAAATACTTTTGATAGACCGAAAGTGAAAATTAAAAACGAGTGAATGATAACTTGGTAACTGAAAACCATCGCCTCCTTGATACAGGTTTACAGAATGTTTGTTGGCATTCGGAAACTTTTTTGCAGCGGATATATGAATAAAATATCAAGTATTACATATTTTTCACCAAGTCTGAACAGTGCAAAAAAGTCCACCCTGGTGTATAAGGGTAGTCACCTTGTTTTCCGTGTGTACATTTGTATTTTGCCACAGTCGTAAAACAATTTGCAAAAATACAACTCGTATCCTCATTCTATAAGTTCTGTCTCTCATAATCTAGAGCACTTTTATCTTTTTGAAATCATACAATAGTGAACTTACAAATGCTGATTTATTTCAATTTAGTCTCTTATTTGATTTAGTTTTTTGCAAAAAATTAAATAAATACGCCACTTTGTTACTGCCGTAGAAGATTTACTGTCTGATGCTTATAAAACCGCATCCAAATATAGAATCGAAATAAAGGTAAGAAAAGACTATTACCCACTCTCTTCATTCTCTCACAGAAGATTCGGAGCCCTAATTAAAACGAACAGCCACTTCCTGTTGACGTTCATTAAAGTTTTAAATGAGACCTTGTATACCTTATTAGGGACACTCAAATTCGAAACTGAACTCATCGCATATACAGGGTCTAAAGAAATAGAAGGGAAGGCTCACAAGGAAGAACGATAAAGTATTGTAAAATGCACAAAAAAGACATAAAAATTTATTTAAAAAAATTAAATCGACTTCAAAATTGAATTGACTCAAAAGTATTAAATATCTTTATATATTCATGAAATTAACAAAAAAAAACGAAATAAAAATTGGGTGGATACGAAATGAATAAGGGGCTCAGATTTTTTTGAGGTAGGTCCCAACAAAGCCATAATTTTATATTTGTGAGACACTTCGAGGGCTTATTGGACAAACGCCAAAAATGAAACAATTAGTGGACATAACACTCCAAAAAGAGGGGCAAACCGCGGACACGTGTTTTTGGCTATTGGCCTCATCAGCGCGGTGCAGCCAANCACCGGCAGCAGGAGGTTGCATATTTGAATGAGGATCGATTTCCTCCAAGAAGATAAATGCCTCCAAACCGAATATGATAATGTGAGGTCCGACAATTCCGCTTTCTTCTTCGATAAGTTTGTTGGAGGTTGAAATGAACACCAATATGTCTTGGCACAATCATGTCGCTGGAATTGCACTCAAAAATTTGAAACACTGTTCCGAACCAGAAAACTGTACACCTCAGCAACTTTTAATGCTTTGAAAAGGACTGGTCATACCTTTTTTGGGGTATTGTTTTCATATATTGAGCTCTTCCCCAAAACATACGCTGTAGCTACTGGATTCCATTCAGAAAAGAGCCATCGGCCTGATTGGAGACGCGAACATCACGTGCAACCTCGATAGCTTGGAACATTGAAGAAAAGTTGGAGATTTGTCCCTCTTCTCTAGATACTTTCACGGGAAGTGTTCAAGTGACTTGGCACATTTGATTCCACCAAAAGCGGTACATATTAGAACACCTCGAACTTCACTATTCAAGAACTCTTTTATCTGGAGAACCGAGTTTATGTAGAATTAACTTCCTGAGAACGGTTTTCCGAATGGATTTAATCTTCAGCGATTCCAATCCAATGTGATTCGCTAATTTCGCACAGGCACCGCTCTGAGAGCGCCTTAATGATTTTCCTGTAGTGCTTGTGTTTTGTTCTTGAAGAAAAAAGAGTGTTGAGTGAGTAACTTTCGCATTTATAAGTATAGATTGAATTATTTTTCAAGTCGATATCTGTCAGATTATTTTTCATTTCGATTATTTCTGGTAATGTTATCAATACTTTTTCAGTACATAACTCCGACTTTGAAACTCGGAATCCCGTCTTTGATATGCTGTGATATTTATTGTTGCTCGATTAGGGAACTATTTAAATTAATCAAGTTGTATAAAGATTAACCATTTCTATTTGTCATTATTTGTCAATGATATTGTCCTGATACTTGTATGGGGAATAAATAGCATATATAATGAAAGTGAAACTGAAAGCTGTTTATACATGAAGATATTCAAAAAAACGATTGGGTGTCTTCATCAAAGCAATATAGAACTCAGAACAATAATTTTTAGGAATTGTTTCTGTTTTCTGTTCCCTCAAAACGGCTTCACCTATTTGGGAGCGGTTTTTACTAATGTTATTTGATTCATTTCAGTAGGTTCATAAATAATAAATATTGTTTAAAAAACTAAAAAACACGCTTTTGAAGAACATCGAACTAAAAAGTTAAAAATATTTTTTTCAATGAGCTTGAAGCAATAAATAAAAAAACAACTAAAGTCAATGCAAAGAGCTAGAATTTATTCTACTACATTTTATCGTCTACAAAATGAATATACTAGTATGATAGAGTGATTTGATGTGCAAATCAACGAATACTTACATTTCGTTCTTGTTTTCAAATATTTATCAGTCAATTTCCACCCAGTTAATTCATGATATTCAAACTCCATGGTGTCTACACATACATTTTCTCACACGATAGATTAAAAAGCTTTATATTATGTTTACATTTAACAAGCAGCATTTTTACGCAGTCTTTGATAAATATTTGCTCTTTGTATATACAAACTGAAATGAAGTGAAAACATTATTTCCAATTACTGCCAGTTAGTATTACACAAAGTTACCGAGCTATTGAATTGATTGACTTGTTTTATTCATTCAGGTCATTTCACTTTAGTATTGGAAAATGTATTAATTTTGATTATTGCAATGAATGTTATTGAAATTTTCTGTGGAAATTCTGATCGATAGAGAATT